GGCGGCTGGCGACTGGCGACTGGCGACGTACGGCGCCTCACGATCCCGCCTAGCAGGCCCAGCCCAATACGTATATGAGCTTTCTTCTGGTTCTCTTTAATATTTCTTTATCGAGAGTAAAAGCAATGACACCTTACATTACTCATGTATAGTTATATGTATGTTAAGTGTAAGTAAGTTTAAGTTTGTAAGGTATCATCTGCTAAAAAAAGTCAACAAAAAAATCAGAGGAAACCAGAAAATAATCAGGAAAAATCAATAACAAATCAAGAAAATGCAGAAAAAATTATGTGTGCTTGAATTTATAGTGAAGTACCCCTAGCGGTCAATTTTGTCGAGACCGTTCTGAAGGCCATCAATTATTATTGGGATGCGTCTGCGCGCCGCCGCCGCGCACCGGCCCTGGATCAGGCAAGGAACTGGATCAGAGGCCAATTGAACGTAATGCCGACATCCCGCCCGCCGTACCGCCGTGCGGCGCGCTGCTGCTGCCACCGCCACCGTGGCGGCGTGGCCCTGGCCCTGTCGGTCCCGCCCTGGCCCTGCCCGAGGCCTAGTGAGCCAGTGAGCCCCCGGGCCGGGCCGGCCCTGCATATGCCGCGCCCGTGGGCCCGTGGGGCTTGTGCCTGTGCCGCCTGTACTCCAGAGGACCCCCCCCCTCCTCCCCGCCCACGCTCCGCACGGGCGGCAGGCTGGCTGCAAGTGGGCTAGCCGGCCCCTGCTCCCTGCCCCTTTTGCAATCATAAACAGTGCGCATGTCCCCTAGTTTTATCAGCAACGCTCGACGTCATTGTGTTCGAATAAAAGTGAACGGAAGCGGCCAGCGCTTCCCAGGTCCTTCCCCCCGCTTTTCCTTTCCCCATTGATGTTCCGCGGTCCTTCTCGTCACAACGACCCCCCACCTACTCCCCACATTTCACATCTACGTACCTCGCGCAAATCATGACTTCTTGGACGACGTTTACCATTCAAGTGAAAGGTGAGATGTCAGAATTCCGTCTAGAAATTGATCAATTTTGGGAGAGAGGGAATACCTGACTGACACCTGACACCCGAAATGAGAAACGTATTTGACCTTTGCCATGACGGTGTGTCGTCGTTGAACCCATATTTACGATCCTCATGAAACGCCTTAAGTGATCCGCGTAGTTGAAGCGGCGTTTTTGAAATCAAACGTCATGTTGTTCATCGTGGTGCACTAACTCGCCCCCGCGGCCCCTTTTGGGCGTCCTTGGGGGCAGTGCGGTGCGGCCCTGAGCACGGATGTTGTTGTTGGTGTCTCTACATGGCGCAGAAACAGGACCTGGCCGCCGGCGGGCGGGCGACCGGGGCGGGGGGCAACCACGCCGTGGTGCAGAAGGCCGGGGCGCAGCGCTTCCTCGTCGAGCACCCCCGGCACAGCCTGCGCCTGGGCCGCCACAAGAGGCTGCCCGTCATGGGCGGCGTCACCAAGCACGAGGGCTCCTTCTTCTTCGGCAGTGAGTATACGAGTACCACCCAGTATGAGAAATGACAAGTCGAATCGACGTCGAAAAACGACGTCGAAACGATGGAAAACTTGTCGAATCGACGTCGAAACGACGCTTCGATATGCATTTCTCACTGGGCAGCCAACACGAAAACGACGAAAAAATTAATTCTGCTTCCGCCCTTTTCTTCCCTTTTGTAAAACACGACTCTTTTGTTATTATGTTGTTGAAAATTTTATTTGCTTTAACATATTGCTTGCTGGCATATTCTCTGCCTTCGAAAAATAACGGTGTATAAACAGTACGGTTTCGGTTTCCTTTCCTTATTGCCTTGGCTCGAGAGCGGTCCACGCGCGCTTTTGCTGACCGGCGCACGTTATCGGATTCAGAAGCAACTCTATTTGTTAATCCGTTGCCGAGATAGTGCGAGTGCACTGTACACGTATGTGTGGACGTTCGAGTTTGAACGATGGAAACGTAAACGCCGTTCCCAATCTTTTTTGCCCCCACAGATATTTACGACATTTTCCTGGATGGTGAAGGCAGGATGGAGGACGCCGACTACCTCAGGCACAACCTCACGAAGGTCACGCTAGAATTTAGCGGTAAGGTCCTTTCCGCGCACGAGTCACTCTTACCCTCTCACTAAAGCCGAAGTTATGGCAAACAGAAAAACAAAATCAAATGGTGAAGGATGACAAAGCGAGACAAGGGGACAGCGTGCCCTGTTTTATGGAACACTTGTTATTTCAGGTATCGACGACGACACGGGTGCGCTCAGCGACGTGTTCCGGGAGAAGTATTTCAAGGAGAGCGACTTGGGGAACTTCACCCTCATGACCCCCGGACTGATCGACGTAAGTTATCTCAGAGCGTTACAGCTCCGTAATGTGTGATGTAGCTCATTTACCATGCCGTATATCCCCCCCCCCCTCCGACGTTCCCCCTTTCTTCGCGGAAGGAGAGCGGCGCCGCCGCATGCTTCTTCAAGGCAGTTCTGAAGCAGAGCGCCTGCCGCGTAGCCTGACCCGCAACGCACGGCTGTCGTCGCGTTGCCTACCGGCCGGGCGGCGTCCCGCGCCGAGCCCAGCCGGACCCGTATCACAGCTTTCTTTTCGCTCTCCTTGTCCTTGCAGATATGCGGCGTGGCTCTCCTCAAGGCGTGCACTTTCCGGATGGTACAAGAGAACTCCCGGCTGGCGCCCAGCTATCTGTACAGCTTCAACTTCAAAGGGAGGCACACCAAGTTCGGCTACGGCTACTCGTTTCTGTACCCGTTCTCTGGTGGCAAGTTTCTCTCTCTCGGGGCAACAAACTTTCTACCCCAGAAGACTAGAGGCGTACCGTGCTGAGGTCATTTGTCTTTCCCTGCAGGAGTCGCGCACTCGGACGACCTCATCTACCTGTTCCCGGATGGAGATCTCAACGAGGAGGAAGATGCTACCGCGCGTACCATGGTGGACCTCTGGACCAACTTTGCGACTTTTGGGTAAGCGGGGCCGGCGCCAATCAACCCTCAGTGCAAACTGGGATATCAAAGGCCACGACGCTTGTCGGAATCCCAGTGAGAAATGGCGGAAATAGCAGCTGTACCCACATCGAAACGTGATCGAATCGACGTCGAAACGATATCGTTTTAATTTCTCACTTGGGAACCCGACCGCTGAGGTACCGTTTGTATCCACCACCAGGGCCCCCGCACCAGCGTACCGCGTGCCCGAGTGGCCGGCCGTGAGCACGGAGCACGGCCCCTACCTGCGCATCGGCCGCGAGCCCCAGGTCCGCGACAACTTCCTGGACGAGTACCACATCGCCGTCCAGGAGGGCCTCGACGCCGCGCCCCACGTCTCCGGCACGTTCGCCACCTGCGTCATCGCCGCTCTTTTCACTCTCGCGGCGTCGCTTTGATGGTCCACTTGGCCACTCGAGTGAAATAGTCTTGTGATTGATTCCTGTGCTATAGGCGTGGGTGCACTGGACACAGACGGTTGCTGTCAGTGAACATTTTTCATTTGGTTCAAAACACTTTGAGATCGTCCAGAAAAGCTGTGGCAAGATGTTGCCTGCCTATCAGGCGCTACGAGAGCCTCCAGAGGATTAACTGGGCAATTTAGTAACTGCGAATAACGGCCACAATTCCTAGATGATCTCTTTGTTTCTTTAATTCGCCCTTAACTGAGAGCAGGTCTACCAGCTAACAATAAGTTCTCAAGGGATAAATTAGTGTTCCACATGGGACATCTTTCATTTCCACTGCTCATAGTCTTTTATTTTACACCTTTAAATTATAATGCAGATGGCACATAAAAGTGGTATTAACTTAACAGAACATTTTTCAGAAGCCAATGTAAACTATACGAATATCTAGATGAAAATTAATTAAAGGTGTACTTATTAATGAGTAACACACAGATGAGGACGGGAATATTAACAAGATGCTGTGAGCAATGAGGGATGGGTAGGTTACAAACTAGGACTAACTACTGAGCGACAAAATGGAACAATTCCTACACATAGACTTAATTAAAATTGCCACAGACTAGTTTATATTATTCCATCAAGGCATACTCAACAAATATTTCACCTTTTCCGTTACATATTGTAGGCATCAGACACCTATATCTCTTAAAACTGTAAGAGAGTCTCAAATATGGCATCTAGATAAGAACTGTCAAAATAAACAAACAAGAAAACTGGAGGTAAATTCTTTTCAGTAATAAAGATAGATATGTCCATCTGACTTAAGACCAGCATATTAATATATAAAAGGGTTTCACATATGAAAGTTGATTCAAAACAATAATTGTAAACATTGATTATGTTCAAAGCAACTACCTTCAACCCATACCTAGAGGGACGGGTGTGGAAGGTTCTCATTCAAGACCCTGAATTAAATGCTAGACAGATAGGTAAAAACAATTTCCTTAAAACATCGATTCTGGTCAGGCACTTTAGATAGATATTGTTTTTATACCTCATTTTGCACTGAGCAGCAGTGATAAAACATCTTAAAATTCAACCTAAGAGTAGGGACACTAAAAGAAATGTAGCATAAGGTGACTTAATGAAGTTGACATTGCCATTTGGTCCATAGATGTGGCACAAAGTGATTGGCAAACTTGACTCACACAGGTACATTTACATAAAAACTGGCCTACTATTATTCAAATACTGCAAAAGTTGTGGCAAAAGAATTACCAACTACCAAGAAAATATTACACTCACAGTATTTCTGATAATATTTTGAATCTACAATTGATTTTAAATCGGCACTATGTAACACAACCATACTTTTCACATGACTTGAACTGGGGGTACTCAACATGAGCAGTTTAAAAAAGGACATAAGTACTCTTTGGCTCCTGAGTAAAATAACTTGTTGTTACATATCCTGTTAACATAACACAGCCATTCCATTTTGGCATCACTAGACAATGCACAAAGAATAGATAGTATTTTGGATACAGTCATTCATCACCATAAATAATATCCAATTCTGACTACTACAACACACATCTAAAAAACTAACATTAGCATTTAAAACAAAACAAAAGAAATTAATCTCTTCTAAAATCATACTATGGAAAGGGAATCGTGCCTCATATCCTACAATTTCGATTACAACATAAAATAGTAGTAATTTAGTGGCACCCAAATAGATTTGTTGTCATCAAGAAAAAATGAAATCTACCCTGCAGCTCTTTATCGTAAAATATGATTCAATAGAAAGAGTTTCTTTGCATTGTGCATCTTAACATCTACAGTTTTAATTTACATACATTATATGTATGTGACGAAGTAGAATCAATTTCAGACAAGGAAAAAAAGACACTTTACTACCACACACAAACCTATCAAATAATCATATTTAGATACTTCCAGGTTTATAGTTTGAAATTAATGGCCATTTATGACACCCTTTGGCATCTAAAATATTTTCAATGAGCAGAAACACACATGAACACTGAAGCAGGAAAACTCCCTAAAATCTAACGACAAGCAAAGCTCCAAGTAGAGAGCAGTGGAGATGCTTTAATGTTGAGATCTCAAATACAAGTCTTAGGCCTCTTTTCAGTCTGATCTCTCATGCTCTTGCTGGCTGCGGAATGTAACATGCCTTTTACGGACATTGCCTGGAAAACAAATGGAATTAACTCTCTGAGTAAATCAATAAAACATCATTTACAAACGGAACATGTAATAATACCTGTTTCATCATAAGAGTCAGAATCTTGGGACTTGACTGGAGATGAATCTCTAGATACATCAGCTTCACCCTTCTAGGAAAAACAAAAGGTGCAAATCTTAGATTATTTCAAAAATTTCACAAGAACTTGAAGAAAAAAGAATTTTGAAACTTACCGGGAAGTACTTGTGATACTGAGCTATTCCCCAGAGGAAAAGAATAGACACTACTGCTTGTAATAAAAGCCAGAACAAAATATTACTGAGTTGGGTGTTTTGAAATAGACGCCTTCCATTCTTAATGCACAGCAAACTCTCTGAAACCATTATGGCTCCATACACCCAACATTGAGTGCCAACTCTGAGACACCGAGGGTCAGTAACGTAAGTATAATATTGTCTGTGGAACGATAATCAAATTTAAATGTAAAAAAAAAAAGGAAATAAAGTGCTTTTATCAACAAAGTTTATGTTAAAACCTTCGTACCTGACTGAAGGTGCAACCACGATGCCAACTAAGAACAGGCGTCCCACAACAATGGGATGAGAGGGAGGCATTTCAAAAATGTGTTTCAAAAAGAATGTATTAAGTTCTGAGACCTGCCAGAAGATAACCAGTTGGCATATTGCAACAAATCGCATGTAAGTGCAGTTTGGATCCAGCCATCGCACAGGAGTCCAGCTACTAGGTGTAAACTGAAGAACAGCCCGTTTTATCTTTCCGGTGGCCGTGTGGATGTCCCTGAAAAATAACTGTGCTATTGAAATACATCATAACATGAAATAATGTGGGGACTTAAGTGATTCCATGAAAACCAAAACTATATATGAGAAAACTGTACCAATGATACAAATAATATGGTATGATAGGTTCAATAATCAACAAAATTTGAAATCGGGAATTGAAAAAGGAAGCAAGAATAGACAGCATAACTTACAATCTTCACTTGATTATTTTTGAAAAGAAAAGAAGGTGAATCCAAAACAGTAAAAAAATGTGATTTGATACACTGCTAAAGCAAGTGTTTCTAAAGCAAGAGATAAAAACTACCAGTCAGACAGGGGAAGATACACAAAATGAAAAAGTAACATTGTTGCTACTCCAACGAAGTGCCACAGATTTCCTAGGCATATAAGCACACTGATGGCAAAAAAGAATCCAAGCAGCCACAATAGATAAAAATTGCCAAACAAATGATAACACAAGACAGTACCATTCACTAGAAATGTTTTGTTAGCGGGCAAGAGAGAAAGCCTACTTTTAGCAACAGGAGTTGTGACTTCTTACAATGCTATTAAAAGTCAAAATGTATCAAAAATTTGATTGAAACATAAACCAACGAAATTTGTTAAATAATTTCAAAGCTAAGCTGGGACAGACAGTAAGGTATTTCGGGAAAGGGTCAAACTTTTTAAAATTTTGACCATTGTCTGTGTCTTGTGCACAGGTAATTTCAAGCATGTGCCTCCACACTATTGGTTTGACTACCCAACCTAGTCACTGCAAAGACACTCTTTGAATGAAAACTACATTAAAATGGCCCCACAACATGATGTCTTGTATACTTTGTGAACACAAAACAGTTAGTGAAAAGAGACAACACAGATACTGTATTTACCAGTATATTAGATGTCTCTCAATACATTCTGGGAACCTATTTCAACAAAGAAAGGTGAATCAACGAGGGAACTAAAGAAAATTTGCTTCATGTATGGTAAAATTTAACATGGCAACTATTTAACTGAAACCCTACACTAAATTATACTACACCAAAAGATTATGAAGAGTTTAATACTTTGAATTTGCAGACAGAGGAGAAACTGCAGGAAGCAAGGGGCCTGAGACCACCTAATCTAGCTACTTTAGACACAGACTCTGGTACTATTTGTTGTACTCATTGCAAACTAAATGAAAAAAAAAATCAACTTTCTATTCTAAGAGATTTGTGGCCTAAAAAGGGCATTCCAAGAAAATGCTAAGAGACAAAAGGAAAAGTATATTTTGGTTTAGGCCCGATAAGCAGCTAATTCCCACATAAGCTGATAAAGGGCCCTTAACCATAACATACAGGTTGATTTTAGATATATAAACAAGTGCAGTTATAAGAGATTTCTAATCAAGGAAAGAAGAAAGGAGCACTAAATTCTAATAACTAATAAGAAAACTGAACACTGCTCACCTGATACTGGCCCACTTGTAATCTCTCATTTCCAGGCGTTTGCATATCCATAAACCAACACAAATACCAAGTCCATTACACACAAGTACGTCGAGAATCCAAGCATCCCACCAACACTCAATGAAGTTTGGAAGTAAATGGGCAAAAATCATCTGTAAAAGAAATGCCACAAAATCATCACAAAAATAGGTTAAGAAACAACCCATTACCACACAATACTACTGAGATGTAGTATACAAACCTCTGTTAGCTCCCACATGATACTCATAGCCCACAATATACCAAGATGACGGACTAACACTGCTTTGAAAACCCATCCAAAAAAGTGGCCAGCAGCAAACACATCAACTGTGCTCCATATTCTTTGGAATGTATAATCAGAGCAGTTCACACCATACTCCTAAGAATGAAAATTATGATAAGACACAGTAATTACACAGTGTAGCATATTTGTTAAACTGAACAAACCTTCTCACTATCAATATGAAAATCTCTCAGTTCAGGATCCAACCAGAAGAATATGTTTCTGACTGTGTTGTAGTTTTGGAAAAGCAGGAAGAGTAAACTAAGGCAGTAAAGAACACTCAAACCAAATACTATTCGCCAGACTGCAGGATGAGGTCGAGTAAATGGCCCATTGGGGAAGGCTAACACAGATATGATGAGGAAGAAGAATATCACACACATGAAGCCAGCCCAGTAGTTGTGTTCAATGTTTTCATCTGATCTGCAAAAATAAAACAAAAATAAAAAAAATTAGAAAAATTTATTTGAAAATTCAATTGCTCAATATACACCTACTACTCTGACAACAGAGAAAGAGGTAGTCAGAACTTGAACCAGTACTGAAATGAACTAAACTTGCAGCAAATACACATTAAAAATTTCAAGTATGTCTAAAAATCATATATGTCAGCAAATTTTGACAAAAATGTACTGAATTTCAATACTGGGTCCATTCCTAATTTTCCCGTTTTTGGACACTAAGTGCGAAGTATTGAAAGGGTGAATTCCAAGACGTATGATGCAACAATGGGTGTAAAGCTGCTCAAATGCACATTGATCGGCATACACAGACATCCTTGCTACTAACAGAAAACATTGTCCAAAGAGAGAAAAGGTAGAAACGAATGTCACACTGGAGTGGAGGAATTTCTTATAAATTAATCATGCAACAATTATTTGCAGTATATCAAGACTAACATTTTCCTGTCTGGACATTTAATGATGGTATCTAAATTACATGATGAAGGGAAACAAGAAAAATGTCTGCACAGTAACAGGGAACATATTCTATACAATTAAATGATGATCTCCAATAAGATCAAAGAAATTACTTCCTAACCTTAACATACCACAATGACAAGTGTAAGCCAAGCAAAACCGACACTGATGAGACCTAGCGACAGTGGAGAATTCATCTCCAATTTTGATATAATGGAATGGTGTGAAACTGACATACCTTGTAAATGATATTGAAATCACAACGGCTATGGAGGTGAAGAGAAGAGCAATGGTGTGGGGCTTGTAGAAAAACTCCAAGGAAATATCATCGACGGGGCGTTCGTTCATAGAATTGAAGATGTCATCTTCTGGACGTTTACTTATCGTATTCCGCGGTTCCATTTTGCTTGTAAACTCTCGCTGTCACATAAGAATACCAAATTCTTCACCACCTTCTACGACGTCCTATCGTGGGCGAAGGCTCGGTCGCATCATCGGGTTCGCGTCCTCGTGGGTTATTAATTGGAGTGCGAATAGGGGAGTGTCAGCTATAGACCGCGTAGGCTTCTGCTACGCTGCGAGTAACCTACGTGATGTGTGTGTGGCCCAAAACCACGGCGCGGCTGCGGTGCTTGGTCCATCTGCACGAGCATCTGCCAGCGTTGTGTCCGCAGAAGTCCAATTCTGTGCAGCGGCTGCCACAAAATGCTTTTCGGTGACCTTTTCCAAAATCTAAAAAATTTAAAGAAATTCAAATGAAACTCCTACACAAAAATGTGGATAAGGATGGTGGGGGGTGAGTAACATAACCTCTAATGTATACTGTCAGGTGTAAAATTATTAACTGAGCCAGTAGTACTGGTATTTTGTCTTTTATCAATGTTTGTTATTATTTTTATTTATTTGTTTTGGAAAATTGGTTCGCCTCTCTTATTTAATATCTACGAATCAGCACACAACTTGTTACCTTCTGTAGTTTGGTGGTTTTATTTCCATGTTATTGTGGATACTGTTTCTTACTTGTACCTCATAATTAAATTGTTTCAGGACTGTTACACTTGTCCCTGAGGAGCCTGAGGATATGTGGCATGCCTACAACCTCATCAGTGAGGGGGACTCTGTCCGGGCATCCACTATTCGGTACGCATTCTTCACACATTATTTTGCCATAACATTAGTGCAATTATTTTCCCCTGCAGTAATTTTTTATTTTTATGTGCTTGAATTTTTTATTAAGTGTGAATTTTGCTTTACAGCAAGGTTCAAAATGAGTCTGCAACAGGATCGTCAACAAGTAATCGTGTACGCACCACTTTAACAATCCAAGTGGAGACAATTGAGTATGATGTACAGGGTTGCATGCTGCGGTTAAAAGGAAGGAATGTGGAAGAAAACCAGTATGTCAAGGTAGTGGGCTCTTATCTCAATAATTCAGTTGCTTCAATAGATAGAATATTTCATTCTTCACTAATAAAATTTCTCCATTTGTAGATGGGTGCATACCACACTCTGGACTTAGAACAAAATAGAAAATTTATTCTGGGAAAACCAGAATGGGACTCAGTTGCCATGGAGCGTGTAGATATGGCATGTGATCCTACCAAGGTAAAGAGCCAATAATATTTTATAAATGTGTCCTCTGCCAAATTTAGCATTTTGATATTTTCTAAAATTATTTTCAAAATCATTTCTAGAACACTGATCTGGCAGCTGTCATCATGCAAGAAGGTCTTGCACACATTTGCCTGATTATGGCCTCTATGACATTAGTAAGGGCTAAAATAGAGCAAGTCATACCAAGAAAAAGGAAAGGGAATGTACAGCAGCATGAAAAGGTAGAGAATGAAAGCACAATATATATCTATATGTAGACAATCAATCACAATCAGACGTTTTTTTATTTTTTCAAGGGCTTCTAACATATTGGATTGTATTAGTAGACTGTAAGCCAGTCCTTGACACTGACCACTGACCATACACATTTGTTTCAGGGCTTAGCCAAGTTTTTTGAAAGTGTTGTTCAAGGCATTTTAAGGCACGTTGATTTTAATGTTGTGAAATGTGTTATAATTGCAAGCCCTGGATTTGTCAGAGATGCCTTTTTTGAGTACATGATGCAGCAAGCTGTGAAGACAGATAACAAACTTCTCTTGGACAATAAAGGCAAATTCCTATTAATTCATTCCTCAAGTGGGTTCAAACACTCCCTGAAAGGTATGCAGACAGATCAGTATATCATTTTGCTATCCCATCGATATCTTGTTGTTTTCTTTTCATGAATGGCTTTTCTTACTACAGAGGTCCTTGCTGATCCCAGTGTTGTCGCTAAAGTATCAGATACCAAGGCCATGGGTGAAGTAAGGGCTCTTGAGCAGTTTTATACAATGCTGCAGGTCGAACCTGCCAAAGCCTTTTATGGCTTCAAACATATCCAAAGAGCCAATGAGGCACAGGCCATTGAGACACTTTTGATATCTGACAATCTCTTTAGGTAAGGCAACTTCTGTAGTACCTTGTTCATTTTTAGTAGACTACCCCTGTCTCTAAAATTCTGTATCAGTTATCATTACATTTTCTCTTACAGATGCCAAGATGTTAAGGAAAGAAAGCAGTATGTGGCTCTTGTAGATAGTGTTAGGGACAGTAGTGGTGATGTAAAGATATTTTCCAGTCTGCATGTAACAGGTGAACGTAAGTTTCTGCCAATCTAGATTGTATTTTACTACTGTAATAATGTTAAATATTAGATATTGTTTCAATGTTTGACTTCCTTTTTCTTCTAGAACTCGCTCAATTGACTGGTATTGCTGCATTGCTAAGATTCCCTATGCCTGAGTTAGAAGACGATGAAAGTGATGCAGACGAATGACTACATATTAAATACATGACATCAAGATCATTTGTGGAAATACTATCAGGAGAAATCTCACTGTACAGCCCTTGTCCGAAGTGATTGTTATTTATCTGGGTCCAACAATTATTTATTGTTAAACTGTCAATGAAATTGGTTAGATAATAACTGTAAAGAATTATAATAAAAAAAATTCTGACAACAATTTGTTTTAATATAAATTTGTCAAGCTTTCCAGTATTTACAAAATCAATGGTGGTAATGACCTGCTTCATCAGGCTTCCATAGCAGCCGCTGCTTTTTTCTTTTCCTTCCTGGCTGCTTTTTTTGCTGCTCCTTCTTCCTCTTCCACACGCCTCCTCTTCTTACGTAAGAGCCAAGCTTCCTTCTTCCGCTTTGTCCTTCCTTCCATCATACTCTTGTAGAGCTTTCTGTGCTTGTTTTTGATCATCTTTTCTCTTAATTTATACTCTGAATATGCTTCTCGTCGTTCAAGGGAAGGATCTTCTTTCTCAAGCTTCCCTCTTGTCACAGCCATTTTCTTTTTCTGCAATTGAAATAATATTAATTATCGAAATTCTTTGTATTTCTGGATGGACATTTCTGAATGCTATGCCAGCACAGACTTACCTTTTCTAATCTCTCCTTTTCCTCCTTGTCAATGTTTTCATCCTCTTCATCTCCTTCACCATCACCACTTGACTCTTCTCCAGAGTGTTCCTCTTCATCTTCCTCTTCCTTATCTTCCTCAGCATTTTCGGCATCACTCTCTTCATCACTTCCATCACTTGTTTCCTGAGCCTTTTTGAGTTGCGCGGGTACTGTTAAGAAACATACAGTTAGAAACCAACAGTAGCAAAAGCAAAAATTGTTTCAATTAAAACTATGTTTGTTCTTTCATACCTTCTAGTCCAAGTAACTCTAGTTCTTCCGGAGGTTTGTACCGTTGGTCACGGGTTTCATCTAGGAATGGAGACAGGTGGGGTGGTAAGATTGCACCCATCAAGTAACGCTCAATAGGTAACACTTCTGCAGCATTTACTGAGTCAAATATCCACTGGGGTTGAACATAATACCTAAAGAGGAAAACAATTATTTAACTGCACAACAGTAGCAATTACAAAAGATTAGAAACAAGGCCTCACCTTGAAATGTATTGTTTTTCCATGCTGGGTCTGTCAACTATCTGATGAGTGATTGATTCATCATCTTCATCAAAAGTTGAACCAACAAAGAGGGTTTTGTCCCAAGATACCTCACCTCCCAAAGCACGGACACAGAAGACAATAGGTTCTCTGGGAACTTCACGGTTAACAAATATTTTAAGGCCTTTGAAAAGTGTTTTAACTTTTCTTGATCTCTCAATATCTTTGCGCATTTTTTCCATTTGCTCAGGATTGTCAGACTGCAAAAAACAAAGAAAATTATAGGGATGTGAGGCAAACCACTTTCATTGTCAAACTCATTTTGAAGCCAAATTTCACATTACCAAAGCAAACTGATCAAGTTGCTGTTCTTCTTCTTCTATAGGATCATTTCCTCCACTGCGAGCTAATTCTACATTAAGTGAGGCAATACGCTCTGAGACATAAGCATTTTCATCAACAAGAGTTTTCTCTATGTCATCACCAGTTGATTGAGTGAGTTTAGGAGGATAATATAAATTAAGTTGATTATAAAGACGGAAATTAACAAAGCCTAACATAACACAATAGAATTCTACAAAATGGGACATGACTTTGAAGTCAACTTCTGATTTGTTTTGAGGCTGCAACACAAAGATAATAATGTAGTGACACTGGAACAAGTATATTTTTTAAATGAGAAGACATTATTGGCACTTACCTGGAAAGAGAAATGATGAGGGACAATCCAGGTAATTGTTTCACCTCTCAACTCTGCTTGGAAATAATAGCCTTTGATAGACACAAACACTTTACGTAAAGCTTTGGCAGCAATAACAACATGAAGAAATTCCATTGTTAATCTCTGACACAGTTCACTGTGGTCACGAGGTACAGCTTTCAAAGAAGGAAAAGTGGAGAAGAGGAAAAGGAGTGTCAGGCAGTCATCAAGATCACGGAGTGCATCGTTGAAAGATGGGTACCGTTCTTTCACAATGTGATCCAAAGGAAGTGTCGGATGCCTTTTCAGGAAACGTCTCAGTTGGTCCTGATTGTTCATTGCTCTTGCACGTCCAACCTTTTTGAAGTGTGACTGAAAAATTCAAAACAGCTTTTAGAAAAGAAGATGTACGATGGAGGTAATGTAAAAAACAATACTTATAAGGACACAATACAAACCTTGAACTCTCGCATCTTCCATAATATGGGGTCTGCAGCAAGGAAAAGAATGTCCTTTTTCGAGTACAACGTCTGAATACCAGTTGCTCCTTTCTGGGCAACCTTCCTTTTCCTTGGTTCCCTTGGATATACGCCCTTCAAGATGCATAGTTTTCTGAAATCTTTCAGTGTGAGCTGCAATTTCTTTAATGCAGCCCTCCTTGACATGTAGGCTGAACCCTCTCCTGACTCGTACTGGAAAGAGCAACATTGCAGGAATTAGTAATTACAGCATTAAATTAGAAGATCCAGCAAGGGTGGAGACGAATAAGAAGCAAGAGTGTTCTGTGTCTAAAAGAGGTATGTGTAATGGCAAGACATCACACGTTGAGAGAGGTTAGAACTCCCTTAACAACGCAAATAAGGGAGTCCCGTCTATCGCAGCATACAATGACTATGTGGGACGGATAAGTAACAAAACAATCTACAATATAAAACAACACATATTGTCAAAATTACCTTCTTCTTCCTTTTCGCGACCATTTTTCCCGGAGTTCTGTGTGCACGTGTGTATCAAATGATTATTTACGAACGAAAGACAGGCATGCGAGTTTATTGCTTATTCGCAGCTCCGTTGTCAATATCAATATGAATCTCAAGTTAGCAATGACAAATGAGTTGGGAAGCGAATCGTTTTAAGAGCAAAATTTTTGAAGCTAGGACGAATCGAAAAAAATTGATTATTAATATTAATACAATAATGACGAAAACTTATCCTTTTTATGACTACTTTTGGGGGATTACATTGCTGTTTTGTTGGCAGTTCTGGTTTTGAGAACCTGCGCTCTGCCGGGACTTTGGTGAACTACTTCTAGAGATTTGTCGTGTATTCACACTACAAGATAACCTGTAAATAGTCATCTGTAAACAGTCATGATCGTATGTGTATATAACCTGTCCTTATGTTCAATAAAC